CCCTGAAGGTCTCACTGTGGAGTCTGATGAAAAATAGACTAAATAAGAATGTGAAAGATAAAATAAAAATGCAATGAAATATCACAGTAGCTTTTCCCATGAAATTCATCTTGCAATTTTAAAGTTTCATTCATGTCACGAATGTATTTGTTTATTTAATTCATTTAACACATATTTATTGAGGGCCTACTACATGCCACACACTGCTATAGGTAGTACCCAGTGAACAAATAGGTGACCTAATTCTATCCCGAAGCAGGGGCAAATAAATAAGTAAAATGAGTAATTTATTTGAAATTGACAATTAATGTGGAGGAGAACAAACAGAGAAGGAGATCCAAAGTGCTGGTTGGGGTCAGGGATCCCTATTTCAAATAGGGTAGGCAAAGAAGGCCTGAAAGGGAAAGCGATTTGAGTACAGACCTAGAAAATGCAAGAGAAGAATACGGGCAATCGGAAAAAAGCTCTCCAAGGGAGAGACAGGTGGGTGCAAATTGCCCTGAGGTAGAAATGTGCTTAATATGTTTAAGAAACTGCAGAGAGGCTTATGTTTAAGCAGAATCTTTCAAGTTACTGTTTTAAGATTTGACAGAAGGGACAAAGGTGGAATTAAAGTCAGTACTTAGGAAGCTTAGTGATTCCTACAGGTGAAAATGATGGTACTTGGATGCAAGTAGTAGTGGTAGGGATGATAAAAGGAGAAAACACGTATTTATGGTGCTAACTTGCAATATTTTTGTCTTGGGAAACAAGCATCATCCAAATGAGACAAATATTATTTAATATTTTTCTAATAGAGTATATCATCTATTTTCAAAGAACTCATCACAAATTTGCCTAAGAGTGAATAAAATTAGGAGGCATGATAGACACTGTGAAATGAAAGAAAACTGCTCAGCAGTAAAGAGCAAATGGGATGAAGGAAAAGAGAAAAGAAAGTAGGGGAAATTGTGTATGTATGTACATACAGGATAGCTAACATAGTTATACTACTGATTTCGATGGCCTTACTGAAAGGAACAGTTAATGATTAATTATTTGATCAGTCTCACTTCAAGTAACCACTTGAAGAAATCAATATGTAATACAGCAACCATTGTTAATTTCCTATCACTTTGTCTGAATTTCAGTATTGCTTGTATTGTTCTTGTATTATTTTGTAAATGTATGTGTGTTTGTTCATATATTTTTGTTTGTTTTTTAAAATAAAAAAATGTAAAAGAAAAAAAATAGCTTTTTGCATTTCCATGTCAAATTTGAGAGTTTATACAGACACACACACATACCCATAAACTACTCTGGGATTTGATTGGATAGCATTACATACGTAAATCAATTTGGAGAAAGCTGCCGTATTTTAATATTGAGTCTTCTTGTTCATGAACTTGATGTGCTTTTTCAGTTAGTTAGGTCTCCTAATGTACTACCCTTTGGGTAGTTTTCTATATATAATTTGTCCATATATATGTATATATAGAAATAGATTTATTATATATTAAATGTACTCAGGTTTTATTTTATGTTGCATTTTGTTTTCTTATTTTTTGCTGCTGATAAAATGACAGTTGATTTCCATTCAGAGAGCTTATGTGGAATGACTTGTAAATTATCAGTTTATCTGAAGAATTTCTGAATTTTGTGCATCTCTAAATATGTCTTCTGTAAATAACGACTTACAGAAGAGATGGGACGTCCTGTACAATACTGACAAAGTAACGGTGAGTTTTGTTGTCCACTAACTTCAGATGGAAACGTTCCAGCAGCTGTCAAGCACAGTGCTTGCAGCAACATGTTTTGAAGATTTTCTGACCCGATTAAGTCTGCGCTGCTCCCAAGGTGCGTTATGAGTCTTTCTTATAAATAGTGGTTGATTTTTTTTCAGTCATTCTTTCTGCATTTACGTATTAAGTGAATCATCTGACTTTTTTTCTCTTTTATCCTGTGAACATGGTTAATTTTCAAATATTGATTCAATCTTACATTCCTGGAACAACCTCAACTTAGATTTGAGTCAGTGGCCAATAATTTGAAGACATATGCATCGACATTCATGAGAGAATGTTTTTCTTTTCTTGTAACGTCCTCATCCAAGTTTGTATTAAAGTTATGCCAACTTATGAGTTTCTATTTTCTATTGTTTGGAAGGCTTTGAGTAAGATTTATGTTATTTCTATTTTAAATAGTTGGAAAAATTCACCAGTGACTTTCTGTGTGTAGAATTTTTTTGTAGGAAGGTTTCTAATTACACAAATGCTTTGGCAGCTATAGGATGATTCAGATTTGCTATCTTTTTCTTGCTCAGGTTTAATAATCTTTGTCTTATGAAGACTTTGTACATTTCATCTAAATTGTCAAATTTATGGTTTTAAACCGTATCTTTCTAAACTCCGTAGGGTTTTCAGTTGTAAGCTCCCATTGCTTCTATATTGGTAATTTGTGCTGCTATTACTGATACTCAGTTTATTTACGGCTTTACTTGAAAATCTCTGAATTTACTTTTGCCTTTTAAAATATGTTGTCTATTTTTCTTTATTGTTTTATTTCTGCTTTTCATTATTTCCTTTTTCTTATTTTTTTTTACTTCACTGCTCTTTTCTGAATAGTGAGAGACTTGATTCTCAGTTTGTTTTTTTTTCCTAGTGTCTGCTCTTAAGGCTATAATTTTAATTCTAAACAGCTGTGGAGGTATCCCACAAACTCATACTTTTATACTATTATACTTGGAACTAAATTGTTTTTCTTATTATTTTTGTTTTATCTATGAATCTTTATAAAAAGTTTGTTAGTTAATCTGCATATTTGTAAATTTTTGAACTTGTCTTCTGGATATTGAGTTTTGCATTGTTTCAGTCTAGGTGCAGAATGATATATTTTGATATCAATCTTTTAAGTTAATTCAGGCTTATTAACTTTGGTAAATACTCTATACACATTTGAATAAATATAGTCATTTAATTCATTCATTATAGATCAAGTGTTTTGATCATGTTCATAACTAAAATTATGTTATTATATTGTTATTGCTTTTGTTTCAGTGTACTCATTCAATCAGTTATGGAGAGGATTGTGTTAAATCTTTGGCTTTAATTGTTAACTTTTCTCTTTTTTATTTCTAGCTTTTGCTGTACTTATTCTGTTACATACATGCACTTATTTATACTTCTACAAGTAGAATACCATAATTATGAAAAGTCCTTGTTTTATCTCTTCTTCCTTGTCTTTATATCTATGTTTTCTGACATATAACCATACCAAGTTTTTATTGATTTGTTTAGTGTTATATATCTTTTCCATCATTTTACTTTTAACTTTCCTATTTCCCTATATTTAAACTACATCGTTGTGCTATCTGTAGTTTTTTTAAAAAATATCATCTAGTGGTATTTTTTTAAAATTTAAAATCTTCAGTGTATTTTACTTTTAGTGCAATTATTGATCTGTTTGTTTATATCTGTTGTCTTAATGTACCTTATCTTTATTCTTCCTGCTCTAGATTTCTATTTTTTTCCTGGTTTCTTTTGAAGTGACAGTTATTACATTCTTTTACTACCCTGTCTGTAATCTGTGTCTCTGACATTCTAACTTCTAATTTAAATTATTTTTGTTGTTACCTGAATAATGCAAGAGTACTTAGCATTCTGTGTAAAGTAAATATTCATTCAGAATAGACATATGTTTCTTTTATTTTTCCTCATTTTTTTCTAGCATCTCAGTGTTTTAGTCAGAGATATTTTACTTCAGCCTCAAGAAGGTAGTATAATATTTCCTTTAGTAAAGATCTGCTGCTGAGGGGGGTCTGAGAGCATCTTATTTTTCTCTCTTTCCTTTTGGAAGGATGATGAAACTCTTGTCTTTCTGGTTTTTTGTTTCTTCTTTTTTACTTTTCTCAAGCAATTAGAAAAATATCATCCTATTGTCTCCTTGTTTCAGATACTTTTACCCAGAAGTTGGCTACTATCTTAATTTGCTACTTTTTACTTGCAAAGGCCTTCCCCTGTCTCAGCTTTATTGAAATATAAGTGACAAATAAAACCAACATATATTCAAGGTGCATAATATGATGTTTGAAGGTACATATTCATTGTAAAATGATTAGCACAGCCAAACTAACCTATCATTTCACATAGTTACTTTGCATGCGAATAAGAACATTTTTGCTCCAGTCTCTTAGCAAATTTTAAGTATACAGTACAGTACAATCAACTATAGCAATATGCTGTATATTAAATATCATAACTCATTCATCTTGAGTAACCAAAACTTTGCACCCTTTGACCAATATCTCCTGGAGTCCCTCACACCTCAGCCCCTGCCAACCTTGATCTACTATTTATTTCTCTAACTTCAACCTTTTCAGATTCAACACATCAGTGAGAACCTTCAGTATTTATCATTTGGGACCTGGGTTCAGCATGATATCCTCCAGGTTTAACTGTACTATCCCAAGTTACAGGGTTTCATTCCTTTCCTTCATATTTTGTTGTATGTAAATATAGGTCACATTTTCTTTATCCATCCATTCATTGATAGACGCTGGGATGCTTTCCATTTTTGGCTTTTTAAACAATGCTATCATAAATAGGCATTGCCTCACAATACTGATTTCATTCCTTTGCATGTATACTCAGAAGTAGGATTGCTGGATTATAGAATAGTACTATTTTTTTCTCTTGGAAGACTACTGATACTGTTTTCCATCATGGCTGTACTAATTCACATTTCCTTCAACAGTGGACAAGATTTCTTTTTTCTCCACATTCTTATCAACGTTTATTTCTTGTTTTTGAAGAATTATTTGTCTTAATCACTTTCCTATTCTGCACACAATACCCAGCACTCCCAGTGTAAAGGAGGGGAGGCTTGTTTTGTCTCCTAGTTTCCGTACATGCATGGTGAGTCGATTCCAAAGTAGAAACATCATAATGGAAGAGCAGGGCTGAGAAAAGCTGCTCAACTCACGGCGACTGGGAAGTATACAGAGAAGGAAGGACCTGGGTACAGGAACAAACCCGCAGAGGTCACGTTCCTAGCAACCAAACTCCACCCAGCCCCCGCCCCCTAGCAACACATTTAACTCCTGGAATCATTAGTGGACGATCAGTTGATGAGTACAATGCCCTCAAGATCCAATCACTTTCCACATTTGAGAATTTGGGGAGAATCTGAGAACCATAGTATAATAACATCCATTTTAACTAGAGTGAGGTAATATCTCTTTGGGTTTTTTCCTGATGGTTGCTGATGTAGAACATATTTTATATACCACTGGCCATTTGTGTGCCTTTTGAGAAACGTCTATTCAGGTCCTTTGTCCATCTTTTAAATTGGGTTACCTGTTCTCTTGCTGTTGTGTTGTGAGTTCCTTGTATGTTTGGATTGAAACCTCTAATCAGGTGAATGTTGTACAGATATTTTTTGCATTCTACAAGCTGTCTTTCATTGTTTATTTTTTCCTTTGCTGTACAGAGGTTTTTCACACCATCCTATTTGTCTATTTTTGCTTTTATTGTCTGTATTTTTGGTGTCATAGCCAAAAAAATAGTACCTAAACTAATGTTAAGGTATTTTCCCCTTAGGTTTTCTTCTAGGAGTTTTATAATTTTAGTCTTGAACTTTTAATTACTTTTGAGGGTTTTTTTTTTTGGTATTATATGATAATTGTCCATTTTCATTCTTTAGGATGTGGTTATTAGTTTTCCCAAACCATTTATTTGGAAATTTCATGCTATCACGTTTATTAATATATCTGCATTTCCAATTTTTTCTAAAACTCTTCCTGCAAACCATTTCCAAAGTCTTCTGAACCACATGGTTAAGCACACTTACAGCAACAACCCCACGTCTCTGGCACTGATTTTCATTAGTCATTTTCCTGTCAGTAAGGCGCAGCATCAGAAATGCACATTTTAAAGGAGGGGATGTTTGGCTTTTGCTTCCAGTGGGCTTAGTAGGTGGTTAGCTAGCTCCAAGGCAGAGATCGCCTGGTGGAAGAGCAGGGCAGAGAAAAGCCCTTTTCCGCATGGCAGCCAGGAAACTGAGCATGCATACATGCTAGGGGCTAGAACATACCTCTCCAGGTTACACCCAGTGACTGCCCCTTCTGACCAGGCCCCACCAATGAAACCATGAGACTACTGGGGCAAAATTTTATGTGTAAACCATGATGTACCTAATTTGCTAAGACCTTTTTCATGAAAAGATGTTGAATTTTGTCAAATGCTTTTTCTGAATCCGTTCTAATGATCGTACAGTTTTTAGTTCTTTATTTAATGTTATCTTTTTTATTTATTTGCATATGTTGAACCACCCTTAAATCACAGGGCGGATTCCTACTCGATCATGGTGTATGATTTTTTAATATGCTATTAATTCAATTTGCTGGTATTGTATCAAAAATTTTTGCATCCTTATTCATCAGCAAATAGAAACCTGTAATTTGGTATTGTGTGATGCTTATCTTATATAATGGCTTTGGAAGTGTTCCTTCCTCTTCAATTTTTAGAAGAGTTTAAGATTTAGCATTTAATTCTTTCAATGTCTATAGAATTCACCAAGGAAACTACTGGATCCAGGATATAAAATTTGGTTATTTAAGATCTTTCTTTTCCATTAGTATAGATATTTATCACTATGTATTTCTCTCTATTCCATAATTCTGCTTCCTCACATATTTTTTGGTATATTGTGTTTCCATTTTCATTTCCCTTAAGATAACCTTTAATTTTCCTTTTGATCTTTCCTTCAAACCAGTTTTTGTTAAGGGGAGTGTTGCATAACTTCCAAATATTTGTGCATTATCCAACTTTTTTGTTTTATTGATTTCTGACCTCATGCTGTTTTGGTTGAAGAAGATACTTGATATGATTTTGATTTTAATAAATTAAGAAATGTATTAAGTTTTTTAAGAATTGCTTTGTGACCTAACATGATATTTACTGGAGAATGTTACAAGTGCATTTGAAAAGAATGTGTATTCTGATGCTCCCAGATGAAACATTCTATGCCTGTCTGTTACATCTGTTTGGTCTGCACTGTATTAGGTCTATTTTCTAGTTGACTTTCTTTCTTTGTGATCTATTCATCATTGAAAGTGGAATGCTAAAATTACCTAATGTCATTGTATTGTTGTTTGTTTCTTTCTTCAGTTCTCTTAATGTTTTCTTTGTATATTTAGGTACTCCGATACTAGAACTACATTTTTAATTGTTATAAACTCATTATGAATTGAATCCATATTTAGTAATATTATAAAATTAACTATGATAATATTATTATAGACAGTGTTTAGGAATTAACTGATCCTTTATCAAAGGGACTGATTCTTTTGTCACAATTTTTTACTTATAGTCTATCTGGTTTATCTCAGTACAGCTTTCTTTTCTCTTTTTTACTTTCCATTTGCACGAAACAACTTTTTCTGTCCCTTTACTTTCATTCTGCTAGTGTCCTTAAAGGACATTCTTCAGAGGTGGATTTGGAGCCTCAGCCTGCAGGTACAGATCTGGTCCTGGCTTACAGAGAAAGAGTAGACTGCAGCTTGGTTGGACCTGGGCCAAAGGGCTGCTGGAACCAGTCTGGTGCTGGGGTTTATGCAATGGGCTTGGTTTTGGGCACTGAAGCAAAGTTGGTGCCTATTTCATACTTCTCCCTGCATTTTGAGGAAAAGATGACACAGGTCCTGGGAAGGTGTCTTTACTAACATTTTTAATGTGTCCTTCATTATTTTTGTGCTCCATCCAGGAGCTGAAATCTCACATAGAGCTTTAGACGGTGACGATATCCTCACGTGTGTGAGATTATTCATGCCGTTTCCACAGGGGCACTCCTGTGTGCTTGAAAAGTCACTCAAGTCTTAAACATTTATATTGTTAGATATGGGTTTTTCTTTTCATTTTTCTCATCTTTTGGTAGAATTTGTAGCACTTCTTCAATCTGTCATGATATATTTTCATTAGCTTGAAACATTTCCTAGCCATTTAATCTGCAAGTATTTTTTTTGCCCTATTACCTCCTCTCTCCCATAACTCCTATTATACATGTGTTATGCATCCTTTTACTATCTTATATATGTCTGTAAAAATTTATTTCCAATTATTTTTTATCTCTGTGATTCAACTTGCAGATTTATTCTGACAAAACGTAGTTCAATAAACTTTTGTTTTCATTAATATTCTCTTCCCTATTAAGTTTGAATTCTAGGTGTCATATTTTTGTTTTATAGTTACCATTGTATTAATTCCTATAGTTTTTATGCCTCTTCTGAAAATTTTCTTCTTGTGTTCTTATTTCTTGCATAAATTACTTACATGTATTTTAGTATCAGATCTGATATTATTTAGATTTTACATAAAAATCTGTTTCTTTTGCTTTTTGTTATTTTAGATTTTAGGCATAAATTCTTGACCCTTAAACAATAGTTACTTTTAATGATGGTCACACATGGTATATAAAAAATTTGTACGGAGTTTTCCTTTTTATAAAGGGGTCAGTGTTTCATTTTGAATGTGGCTAATGTCAAAAAGATTACTTTAATTCAATTATGGATCAGTGTAATTGGAGAAGACCTTTTTTTCATGTAAGGGTTGATGAATGTGCAGAGTGTAGTCCTTTGGGTCCCGTTTGAAAGCTTAGGATGTTCATTAAAGTCCTCTCTTTTTGGTAGAACCTGCACTCTAATTTCTTACCCCAAGGTCCATGTCATCCAGAAGTTCTTTATAGTGTCTTGCTCTGCTTGAAAGCTGGAAAATGTCAGAAAGGGAAAATTGAGCACATATTAGATGTATCTGGGAGTTTCATTTCCCTCTGACATCTTGGACCTTTAACTGTTTGCTATTGTGACACACTTTCTGATGCCTTCACAAAAGTACTTCATAACATTTCCTAGATTTTGTAATTGTCCTTGGCAGGAATGTTGGTCTGCAGTGAGCTCACCTACTGTCACTGGAAATGAAAGCCTCTTACTACTGTTTTCCTCATTTTTGAAATGTCAACAGCCTTTTTGGTGTGCATCACTCTCCTTTTTCTGTATCACTCCCTTACTTAGTCTCTTTAATCATATTTTACATTTTACCCTTCAAATCATCTTATTGCAGACACTACATTAATGTCTGTGTTCTCATAATTTAGTCTTTTCCTTTCAATGACTTGATTGTCACAGAAGAGTCTAAAATCTATTTTTGTAAGGTCTGTTCTAGGTATGGTCACTGTATGTACTTACCTATCTTTTCCTCAGAACAGTGTGTTGATTAATAGTAAATGCATTGAAGTCAAATGAAATCTTGGTATCATGGCTTACTAATTGGATCCCTTTGCTCAAGTTTATTAACCCTTTTATGCTTCACTTTCTCCATCTAAAGTGTAAAATTATATGAATAAGATTCTCGTGAGTACCGAGTAAAGTCATGTCTAGAAAAATGCTTGACACAAGCCTGACACGAAGTAAGTGTTAAAAAATGTTAGCTATTCTTATTCTGAAAATCCAGTGTAAATGAGGTACAGACATAAGTATCAGGAATTTAAACACACAGTATCTATCTTTAGTAAACTCTCTCCGGTTCTCTACTGGAGGTGTTTCTCTTAACGTGTCTTAATAATTTTTAAACTAGAAATGTCAAAACTGACATTTAAGCTTTCTTGACACAGAGTCAGTCATTCCTGGTGTTTCCAGGGGCATCTCCATCTACTCAGCTCTCTAAAATCCAAACAGAATAGTTTCACACTTCTTCCAACCCCCTCCCATGTCTGTCGCTATCTCTAACCAGATATTTTTCTCTAATATTTCTGCTTCTCCCTTTTCTCCCTTCTTCTGACTCCCTTATTCTAGGGCTAGACTTTCTCACGCTGTGCATAACCTTCCCTAATTATTTTTAATTACCCGGTCTTTAGCCCATGTGCTTGTTGCATTTATTCCCCAGCATGAGAATCATCTTCTTGTATCTCAATTCCATCACCCACTCTCCTGCCTAGCTTTATAAAATTTCTCTCTAATATCAACAGCACCAAATCCCAACTCCTTAGGTCGATAAGCAAAGTTCTCTAAAGTCTTTCCCATTCACCTCTCAATCACTTCACCAAAAACTTGTGCTCATTAATGAACAGACAAATCTGAGAATGGCAGTAAAAAACTGATCAGAGCATGTTTGCTACCCAAATCTTGGTTTCTAATCAATATTCTTCACTAAAATTATTCTAATCTTCTCGGAGAAGATTCTAGAGCCAGGGAAAAAAAATACAAAATAACCCCCCCCACCAAAGTTTGTGATGCCAGAAATCAATGAAATGCTTTAAAAAGTTCAGGCAAAAGAGTACAAGATCCAACCTGAAGAGTGCCTAATAGCCAAAAGTAGACCAATTTCAGCAACAAAATAAACAATAATAATATTGGATTTAACCCATGGAATGAGTATCCATGGTAATTGTCTGTATGCATAAATAACCAAATAAATTAATGTAGCAGAGAGGCAGCTCTTTCTTGCAGTAGAATTTCAGCCAATAAATGTAAAAGAAAAGAGAAAACTGAGAATCAGTATTATGCTAACATAGCAGTAATGAATGTTGCAATCATCTGAGGGGGAATTATTTGAGGAAAAACAGGATTTATAGAGTCACAAAATATCCCTTCCCAAATACCTATCAATTCAAAAGGAAAAGAAAGTAATTTTTATTGGAGAAACCAGGCTGATTGATGCCATTCAAAGGGCGTATCATAAACTTGAGCTATATGTTGAAGACAGATATTATTTTTGTAGTACTTTTGCAAAAAAACTGAATAACTTTGTTCTAATCATAGGACAATATCAAAAAATGCAAATTGGAGGACATCTACAAAATAAGCAAAGTTCTTTGGAAGTGTCAAGGTCATTAAAGTGAATTAAGAAAAGACTAGCAAAGCATGATGGCAGCACAGACAGCAGAAAAACAGCAGCTAAGCACAACGTGGGACCCTAGACGCGATCTCAGGACATAAAATGGATATCGGTACAACTGGAATTTTGAGTAAAACCAAAAGATCAATTAGTAAAAATGTGCCAGTGTTAACTTATTCTTGGTCATTACAACGTGATTTCAAAAGATGTAAATATTAGAGGACAATAAAGAAGTTAAGAAAACTCTTTTCAGGACTTTTGCAACTTGTTTGTAAGTCTAAAATTAGTTCAAACACATTAAAAAAATCCAGTTCTTTCCAATTTTCCACATCATCCTTTACCTTTCCATCTGTGCTCTGTTCTCTAGAAAGAGGCTCACCTCATCTGATCCATTCCACAAAGCTCACTTACATTTCTTCCTCAGGGACTGAATGTCATCTTTCTTGTCAGACCTACTTCACCTGAGATTTTGACCCAGTCTGTCACTAGCTAGATGATGGCTGGTGGTGTTGTGAAACCCTTCTAGCCCTTCATGTTTTCCTCTTATAATTAGAGCAAAAACTGTACTTTATTAACCAATTGTTGTGAAGATTAAAGATACTACTTTCACAGCGCTAAGTTCATGGACATGTACATAGTAGGTGCTACCTACATGTTACGATTTTATTGCAAATTGTATTACCTTTGGAGCTTGTCCTTGATTAATTGGTAAAACCTCTATTACTGTAAGTTTCTTCAGTATATTTTGATTCAATTCATATAATTTAAATTGATATTTGATATTTAATAAGCTCTTTTTAAGTTTAGATAATTTCCTCAATTAAATTATGAAATCATTTGATGCAGTCCTCCACTCCTTTTATCATAACTGCCTAATTCAGTATTCTGCACACAGCACATGATGAATGTTCACTGACTGACTGATTATAAAGTTGGCAACACTATTCTTTCAGCTTTCTAATGAGCTGAAGCTTTCATATACTGATAATATTTAACACTCTTCAAATGCTACAACTTTATGTGTTGGCAAAAATATTTAAATATAACACTAATTTCTACATTTAGAAGTAAATTTTCCATGGTGCTGCAGTCATATTATGGGAAATGTCTAAAAGTACAGAAAATATCATTAGAATATGCCATCATAGGGTAGCGTGGAATCTGGGTGACACACACTACTTTGTCAGAGTTTATACATTTTCTGTCTAAGCAACTTTCCTTTTGCTGGAGTTGCTCATGAATGGTTTGTGATAATAAATCATGCAAATGCCAGTATTAACAAACAGCTTTATTCCAAGAAATATTCCATTCCCCTCCACTCCACTCCACTCCACTCCACTCCACTCCACACCACTCCACTCCACACCAATCCATTCCAGTCCATTCCATTGCATTCTAACATCTACTCTTGGTTTGTGGGAGGGAAAACTTTGAGCTAGACATGAAAGCTGTGTGGTTGAATTTAACAACGACATTGAGGAAATTGAAAGATGGCAAAGATGCCCTTGAGGAGTGCAGAGTGCTTCATCTGAAGAGGTGGGCATTAGATTCTGACTGCCTGGATTCCCATCCCCATTCCATGACTCATTAGGCTCAGTCTATAAAATCTTAGGTATTTTTGGTTTTGTTCCTGTTTCAGTGCCTCAATCTCTTTGCATCCAAAATGGAAATAATAATAATGTCTACCTACAGAGGGTCTTTAAAACATTAGGTAAAACACCATGTGTAAAATATATAGTATCATGTACTTAATCACAGTACAATAAATGTTATGTTTTCTTAATGTAGATAGATCACTCTCTATCCTTCAGGTTCTGGATGTTGGAGAGTGAATCTAACAGATTTTAAAATTTGATCTAATTATTTTCACAGATGAAGGAGCAAAGTGACTTGCCCAGGGTGCTATTATTATTTAGTAAATATAGCTACATCAGAGGATGACAAGTAGAATCATTAAAGAAATACATCCATTGGACTTGGTAAGCAAGCAAAGTTCTTACTAAAATAAACTTCCCCCCAACAGAAGGATTAAAATGAATCCAGTGGCTACTTCTTCCCTTTTGATTAATCTCATTACAATATATCTGAATGGCAGAAGTGCTTCTAAAAAAGCAGTCAGTGTTTGTTGAACCACTAATGCTTAATAAACATTATTTTTGAAGCAAGAAATATTGCAAAAAGTGAAAAAATTCAAATGCCCATTGACAGAAGAATGAATAAGGTGTGGTGCATTTAAACAACTTACAGGCATCAAACACAATGAACTATAGCTACATCTAACAAAATGGATTCTTTTTAGCAATGATTTTAAATAATAATCCTAAATTCCAGATAATTGCATGCATTGTTTCTAAAGTCAAAGCAACTAAAGTAAAAGAATATAATGTTTAAACATGATGCAATAACATAAATAGAAGGTAAAGTGATGCTGGACAAACATTTAGGATATGGTTACTTTAAGGAAGGAATATAGGGATAGAATATACCAAGAAAGACTACGTAAGTAATTTCCAGTGTTATAGTTTCTTTGCTGGTTCTTTTTACTAACTTAATATTTTACTAAAACAAAACAAAGACTGCACACAAATCAATAATAAGGGTGTCTCTAAAATATTTTAAGCACAATGCTATATGTATGGGTGCCTGCATTATACTTTTTATCCCCTCACATTGAGAATTAAGATGAACATATTATACTATCTTTACATGAGTTTTTAACACTTCTGGCAAAATGGAAATGGAATATATATATATTTTTTTTCAATGTCTCCCACCGATCTTTAAGAATTCAGCAAATGTCTGTTGCCCTTTGCCTATTGATGTTCTATTATCTGGAAGCACATCAAAAAATCATGCTTCCCCAGGAGAAGCCAATGCAATCATGTCATGCATCTTCCCATTTTATGGATAAGTACCTCTGAAATTTCATTTAGGGCACTGAGAGGTTTCTTCCATTCCTCCCAGCTTGATAGAGAATTTGTCAAGGCACACTTTTTACCCTTTCCTGCTTCCCAGGAGAGTAGACTTGGAAGATGACTTATCTTCTATGGGTGCAGCATCTCCAAGCAAGCTCTCTTATGTATGACTGACTCAAACAGTAGGAATGAATAGAAGGGCCAATATGAGACTTAATTAGTATTCCCTTAAAAGCATAAAGCTCCAATCTCCTTCATGTTCCTTATGATGGCCATGCTGAGTATATAGTCAAACTGGTACAGGTGGAGACTATTAGCATGCTCCTCATTTTGCATGACATGGTATACCTAGATCTTTATGTCTTTTATGCATCTGAGCTTTGCCAGTGGGCAGAAGCAAGGACACTCTGGCCTTAGACTTTCTGCACTGTTCTAAAGAGAGTTCAGAAGCACAGTGAACGGGAGAATGTGCCAGAAGTGAGGATCCCACAATTCTCACTGCCTCCTTCTACCCCCACGTTCCACTACACATTTTTATAGTGTTAGATTAAAAAGTACCCCAGTGTTAGAGAAGTAAAAAGGTAAAAAGAGAGGCGGTCAAAAGGTATAGGAAAGATGGGGCTGATATCTATTCATGGGAGGTGGAAGGCCACTTGCAAGCTTTGTGAATTTGGGTAATAAGCCTGTGCCTGTTTCCTTGGTGGTGATAACTACTTTTTTGATAGGATTATTGTAGAAATTACATGACATTATGATTGTAAATTACTCAGCACAGTGTATAGCACATGACGTGTAGCCAAAAATTGCTATGCATATTATAATTTTAAATAGAAAAATGAAACAACCTATGATACATATTTGTGGAATGTTTTCCGAAGAAGCAGAGATTTATGTAAGCACTGGACTGATATAGTGGCATCTGTCACAACATCCTTTCCAAGACTCTTTTGAGGAACGAATGAGATAATGTATGTTATGTATCTGTCATAATGCCTGACACACAGCAAGGACTAAGGATGCTTAGCTCTTGCTCTTCAGCTCTTACTATTAAAATAACAGGATCTTCAAAGAGTGGAGGTCAAGTTTTGTTTGAATATGTTTAAAACTTTATTAATTATAAACCATCCTAACATACAGAGTGTTTTTCAACATTTTACTGGTCCCATTCAATAAGTTTGTTGCTTTCTCTTATCAAAAACTGACATGTTCATTCAGTTTTGAAGAAGAAATGATGGCTCTTAAAGCTTGGATGATATAGATAAGTTATGCAGGGGGAAAGGAAGGATTTGAACTCAGGTTTGTAGGATGCTAAAGCCAAAATTCTTTCCGAATTAACTCTAAAGAGCTTTCTATTGAGCTGGCGTGATCGAATTACAAATTTCTGCCTGGCTATTACCCTGAATAATTCATTCAAGCTGTCTTCATGGTGGTATTGATGCAGCTAAGTCCATTAACTCAGTCCCCCCAGAGCCGTGCCAAAGTTGAAAAGCAACGACCAACCAAGAAGCAAGGAGAGTAAATGCACTGTAAGAATTTTTTTAAGATTGCAGTTTGTTTAAAGAAAAAGAACTTTCTGGAGATGCAGCAGCAGCAAATCTATCAGCTCCTTGCAGTGTCATCAATCACAGAAGCACAAGGAAAAAAAAAAAAAAACAAGCTGGACTCAGTACCCATCCTTGTAAATTATTTTTCAGGAAATCTTGCAGGCTTGGTTTTTTTACCAGGAAACAATTACAGTTTAATATAGAGTACCCCAGAATTCACATGGAACTGATTTCTATTTCTTTTTGTTCTGCTTACACAAAGGAAATGCAATTTTTCAAAAACAGCAGAGAAATACACAAGCGCTGGACTAATATAGTGGCGCCTGTCACTTACAACTGAGGAACTGTGTCATTTCTCATTGCCAGTCCTGACAGCACCTCAAATAAAGAGGCATCTTAACAAATTATATTCTTGATATCGCTTACTGAGATGCAATGGCTCTGTTTTAAATAATACAGTGACAATGCCAAGACCTGAAGCTGAATATGTAGGACATTTACTGTAGCTTAACTGGTGGCTCATTATATTTCTTGTGTCATAATCTCAAGCCCATACTTTTATCACATTTCTCTAACTGTGCACAATTAAAAAGCCAGGGGTAACTTTATATTTTATCTGAGTCTGAGGAGATTGCTAAATTATCATTGCTTTGATATTAAACAATTTGAACTTGTACAATGACCTTTGAATATGTAAATAGAAGTATGTACATTGTGTTGCAAAAATTGTGATTTGCCAATTGTTAAAACAATAATGGGAAAATTTGGAAGAAAAGTGGAATTTAAA